CCAAGTGAAACTTTGAATGTACTCTTGTAGAAACAAAAGTCACATTCAAAGCTCCACTTAGATCAAATAATATCCCTTAAGTAATAGTTAAGTGATAGCCGTGCAAATGGCCATAAGCAAAACCAGTTCATCGTTATACGTAAACCTTAGTCTGCCTCTTTTCTGTGCCTCGATCGAGGCCTCGACGCTGTTTTGATTTTGCTACATTTCTCAAAATTTGGAAAAAAAAATTCAAGAAAAGTCAAAATTTGTTGTCATGAATCTAAAATCTATGGTTATAGACATAAAACATCCCAAAAATCAGTTTGCGATTGGTACCGATTATCGCCAATCGATTAAGAACTTTTAAATATGGCAAAGATAAGGCAGGTCTTATTTTCTACTAAATAAGGCAGATCCTTATCCTTAAATAAGGCTATGCCCTTATTCCAAATGGAAACTGCGCATGCGCAGCTGTCAAAATAAGGCTTGCCTTAATAAGAAAAACAGCTGCAATATCTCTCTTATAAGTATTGTTCGGTTTCTAAGGAAACAAAACATGTACCTATTTTGAAAAACCCATCCCGGAAAAACTAAAAATGTATTCAACATAAAAAAATAGAAGAAGAATTAAGTGAAATAAAAACAAAAAGTTTAAACAGATAATCTAATGTAACAACCGTCCGCCTTCTTGAGCTAAGCAATGACATAAACGATCATAGAAGGCTCTTCGAACATGCTACGTTCACCAGAACCAAAACGGATTGTAAACAGTTTACAAATACCAACAGAATATGTTGGGTAAACTCTTGGTTCTGCTGAACGATTCAACTTTTCAATGATAGAACCACAGCATATAGAACGTCACCTTCTGGATGACAGGTCACCACACAAAACACAGTGGTGAAAATTATAAACACTCTGAAATTATGCTTGCAAACTGAAAACCATACATTCTGGATTTGCAGTAACCCCAGAGAAAATGATCGTTAGGTGCAATATCGGGAGAGCGGGCTGGCCACAGTATTGTAGCTCTTGACCCAAGAATGAGACGGTTTGAAAAAGTATTATTCAAATAATCTAGATTCAACCGGGTCAGTTAAGTTAGCCCCCCCCCATATTTCCAAATCCATTAAAACTTATACTATTTTTTTGCACCCATTTTGCACCACCCGAAAAAAAATTTGCACCCCCTCAGGAGAGAGATTATATAGAAGTATTACTGGGGGGGGGCCAAATTAACCATGGCCCCCCCCCCCACACGCCGAATTTCAATTTATGATAGCATAAATTGTTCTCCGAGTTTTGCACCATTTTGCACCATAAGTATTAAATTTTGCACCGCAACCCTTAGGCCTTAACAGGGGGTTGATAGAGAAATAGTTGCCCCCCCCCCACACGCCAAATTTCAATTTAAAATAGCAGAAATTGTTCTCCGAGTTTTGCACCATTTTGCACAATAAATATTAAATTTTGCACCGCAACCCTCAGGCCTCTAATGTCTGCCCAGCGAGTCTGTGTCTACGGGGCAACGGTAAGGGGAATGCAGTTGTAAAAAAAAATGGCTGATTTCATTCATAAAATACCCAGCTGCGTGCGTAACTTTTTGGAAGTGTTATCGTATTGCAACTCGTACACGAAAATCAGCAATGACCAAATCTCCGCCACTGGATATGTCAATATAAATCGATATTTCAAGATGGGAGGATAAAATGACGTGAGCCCTGGCCAATAGCGAGACGTAAGGTGACGTTAGCTCTTTGACAACCGTATGGTTCCCCATGACAACAGCGATCCTGCCAAAAACTCCACCAATCAGGTTCATCCAGGACGGATGCTTGCCAAATTGTCAAAAGCTAATGGTATCTTTAGAAAATGTTTATTTTTTACAATAGACCAAACTGAAGAAATCAGGATTAAAATAAGGATAGGTCTAACAACCCCGTTAAAATATTTAGCGTTTTATTATTGTTATCAAAAAACGGATTTTCAAATTAACTATACTTCATGCTTAGTATTTTCGATTTTTTATAATTAAACGTGGCAACATGGCACATTTACGTCCGAATTCCTTCCGTAGACTCAGATCCGCTGGGCAAACAATACAGGGGTTTGAAAGAGAAATAGTTGGCCCCCGCCACACGCCAAATTTCAATTTAAAATAGCACAAATTGTTTTCCGAGTTTTGCACCATAAATATTAAATTTTGCACCGCAACCTTTAGGCCTCTACAGGGGGTTGAAAGAGACATATCAACTTTGTTCCAACACAGCTGAAAACCCTATACAATTTACCCTCGAATTTACCCAAGGATAATACACACTACACACGGATTGCTTATCGGCCTCTTTTTGGATTTCAAGGTCATCTGGTGTAGCACCAGACAGGCTGTTTGCGCCAGCGGTCGCAATTTAGAATATTAAAGCAGACGCCAGCAGAATTATAGCCTGTGGTGCAAACACCCTACGTCAAGGCAACTCAAGGCGAGAAACGACACGCTACTACGTCATCACCGATACTTTGGCCCTATTTCTCTTTCAACCCCCTGTAGATGCTTAAGGGTTGCTTTGCAAAATTTAATACTTTGGTGCAAAACTCGGAGAACAATTTGTGCTATTATAAATTGAAATTTGGCGTGGGGGGGAAAACTATTTCTCTTTCAACCCCCTGTAGCGGCTTAAGGGTTGCGGTGCAAAGTTTAATATTTATGGTGCAAAATGGTGCAATACTCAAGGTGTTCCGTAAGTATTGCACAAATTGTTATTTGTAGTATTGCACAAATAACAAATTGTTATTTGTGCTATTTTAAATTGAAATTTGGCGTGTGAGGGGGGGGCAATTATTTCTCTTTCAACCCCCTGTAGCGTCCTAAGAGTTGCGGTGCAAAATTTAATATTCATGATGCAAAATTCAAGGAACAATTTGTGCTATCATAAATTGAAATTTGGCGTTCGGGGTGGGCCAATTATTTCTCTTTCAACCCCCTGTAGAGGCCTAAGCGTTGCGGTGCAAAATTTATTATTTATGGTGCAAAATTGTGCAAAACTCGAAAAACAATTTGTGCTATTTTAAATTGAAATTTGGCGTGTGGGGGGGGGCTAACTATTTCTCTTTCAACCCCCTGTAGAGGTCTAAGGGTTGCGGTGCAAAATTTAATATTTATGGTGCAAAGTGGTGCAAAACTCGGAGAACAATTAATGCTATCATAAATTGAAATTCGGCGTGTGGGGGGGCCATGGTTAATTTGGCCCCCCCCAGTAATACTTCTATATAATCTCTCTCCTGAGGGGGTGCAAAATTTTTTTCGGGTGGTGCAAAACGGTGCAAAATGGGTGCAAAAAAATGGTATAGGTTTTAATGGATTTGGAAATATGGGGGGGGGGGGCTAACTTAACTGACCCGATTCAACCCCGTATTGAGCTGGACAACTATCTTGTTAAAACCACGTTTCGTTGAATCTAGAACCAGCTAATCTCCTAATTTCTATGGAACTATTTGCCGTTGCAAAAGATCCGAATACTTTGGACCAGTTAAGTTACCGCCAATGAAGTACGGCCCAATGACACCTTTTGAGGACGCTGTTCTAAGTTCAAAATACCTGTGTAAATTTTTCTTAGACCAATAACGGGTGTGACTTGGATTATATCGACCATGGAGTTGGAATGTCGATTCATCTGTGAAAACGGTTTTTCTAAGAAAATCTTCATTTTCATTTGCCTTATTAATGACAGTTTCACAAAACTCCATTCGCCTGATGTCCTCAGGATCAAGCGCACGAGTCGAAATAGTTGAAGCGTCGTTAACTAATCAGTGACATATATAACCCCAAAAGTAGATCCACAGGAAACTTCCGATTGAACCGGAAGTGAAATTTTTGTGCTAACGTCATTGGCTAGGACTCCTTAGTGCATATTTTTTTTGGAAGAACGCTCGGGTCGCTTGGACACGTCGTTCTTAATTTTTAGTGGCGCTGTTTTTAAACTAGGTAATTTGTGTTTATTCAAGGTGACCCAAAAAAAAATATATATAAGGTACCTGACCCAAATAAGGCCATGTACCTGATAAGGCCAATGCCCCTTATTGTTTAATATTGAGTCCCATCTTCAAAAATTACAATATTACTAAAAAAGATATCTATAATGCAAATGGAAAATTATTGCGAGGATTCCTAGCAACTCGTTATATGTCGAAAAATGGCTAACCATAGATTTCATATGTCAAGTTATAACTTTGAGGCTGGAACTTAATTAGTTTATAGACATTTTCTCAAAGGGAATGGAGCGAATGTAATTTTTACACAGACCTTTATGCTTTGAGAAAGCTATGGAGTAAGTACAGAATAATATCTTTGCTAGATTTCTAGTTACAGACTTTTTTTTATCAATGTAACATGTTCCTGATAAGGCCACATGCAAAAATTTCCAATTGGCCTCTCATCACAGTGTTTTTTTTAAAAGAATGTGTCATATTATTACTTAAGTGATGTGTTTTAAAGCACCTGGAGTCTAACCAAGCAAGAAAAGCTGCGGTTAGTTGTCCTAGTTGTCTGTAGACCTATTTGGATTACCATCCCAGGAATTAAAATTATTGTTTTTTTAGAATGCAGCAAACGTTAAAGTTCTATTTTGAGTACTTTTTGTCAAAAAATAATATTTTTATAAATGATTCTATTTATTTTAATTTTTTTTTATTGGTGGCCTTATTAGGAGCATAGTGATCCACACAAGGCCAATGGTATGGGTCTTTGTTTTACGCAAAAACCACCACTTACATGAAAAAATAAATAAATTGGAGTTAATATCCAAGTAATAGAAGCGAAACACTTCACATATAGGCTCGCGATTTTTGTCGGGTTTGGTGGATAGTGTTCGGAAAAAATAAAACTTCTTAACATGGCCTTATTTGGGACAGGTACCTTATATCACTTGACACAATTTTTTAAATGCATTGCTTCAAGCTTCAAGACGAATTATCTCTCTCATTTCTAGTTTTCGATCCTTTACTTTAAAAAAATAAGTCATCTAAAGTTAAAAAACACAAACGATTTAATAAGTGACACTGAAAAACATCAGCAAAAAAACATGTAAGTAACTAATCACGAAATGTAAATCACACCACATCCTAAAAAAAAATCCTCTGCTAAGAAGATGTTCTGGCCACTTTAAGCAGCACCAACCTAGTATACTTTAAGCTGGTGTTTTTCATCAAATCCAGCTGAATGACCGGCGTTACGTACAATAAATGTCGAGCCGTCATAATGCATCCGACGTTCACCTCTGCGTACAAAAAGATGGCGCGTCTGCCCTAGGGAACCTGTGCAGTGCATGAAGGGAGTCGAAATCGATGCTGAACCGTTGGTCGGGGAAGTTCTGAGGCAGAATTTGTTGCTCTGTCTGCCAACACTGGAAAAAAAAATCAAAAAATTTGGTGGTTGATGATCACAGTAGAAGCCCCTAGTATAAAACTAGGGATGCTGGCTCATTTGGGGACGGCTGCCTTTTTTTTCAAAAATTCTAAAGTCTATAAAATATCTTGTACTTATTACTTTGAAAATTCATCTCGCATCAAACCCAACGTTGACTTAGGTACCTACTTGTCATTCCAGCTAAGGAACATTTTAATAATGCCCAAAAAAAAACATTTCTTACATTGTAATTGAATAGCGATCTCGAGTCAATTATCATTTCTTTGAGAACATACTCTATCTTAAAGATCTGGGACTCTCTTCGGCATATAAATAATTACCTAGGTATTGAAAAAGTTACAAATCAACTAAAACAGTCAAAAACGGCAACAACCAACAATAATTGCCTATAGACCGGTGCATAACGACCATTTTTTTAAAACGATTTTCTCCCGTCTGCCATTAGGGGGGTTATTCTTTATGCATTAAGAAGTGGAATGGCCGAAATTTCAAAGAGCCCCGCGTGTGACAATACAATGATATGCCAATTTGAAAATGTAATGAAAAGTGGAGATTTGGATCAATATTATCCCGTCTGCCACACATTGTGAAGGTAATTTAAACAAAAATGAGTAGAAGGAAGCTAAACGGCAGAAACCCTAGGTTAGTATAAAGTATCATATAATTAATTTTAAAATGTCACCAAAATCGGACATGTGGATCAACGACCTCCCGTCTGCCAAATTAAATTTATGTTGCATCTACGATTTAGAGATCAATAAGGAAATGGCAGAAAATCTCGGTTGGTATAATAATATTTAACAATTTTTGAAGTTGTATCAAAATGCTGAGATGTTGAAACAATTTTCTCCCATCTGCCATTAGGAAGATCAGTTTGACATGTAAAGTAAAATCCAAGAAATGTATTGGCAGATGTATCCAAGGTATATTAACAATTGGCGGAAACGATAAAAATGTCAAAATTTTTCAAAGTTGAGATCAATTATTTCCCGTCTGCCAGTAATGTACAGGCTGTATATTTTAAGTGGTACCACTATTGCTATATCCCAGTGGTTCCCAACCTTTTTATAGTCACGACCCTTTTACAGATTTTCTCATAAGGTCGCGACCCCCTACCCATTAATAAATAATAGTATATTGTGTATTTAGGTGGAAAAGTGACACATTCTCGGCCGACGGTGTTAGTTGACGGGTGAGGAGTAGCCGAGGCCGGCAAACACCGAAGGCCGAGAATGTGCTTTTCCACCGAAATACACATACTATTTTTTCTGCGATCGGTTAAATACCTGTTAAATGTTTGTCTTTTGTTCCAATTATTCAGAAGTACGAGAATCACTTTACCGGCCTAGGCCGGAAAAGTGTTTCCCGTATTGTTATTCATTGATTCCTTAGCAACTATTGAACCATAATTAAAATACCAGAATATTGAGTTTTGCGACCTGTCAACCGGTCAAAAATGCTGACATTTCTTGTAAATCGCAGAAAAAAAACAAAATTTCATTTATTCGAGAAATCTCGAACAAAAAAAAGCTTGCAGCTCGTAACAAGTCTTGACATTCTTGGTTGGGTTTTTGTTAAAGCCAATCCTATGCCATCTTGAACACCCAGTCTATTTCTGTCCTTTGTTCTAATTTGCAAAAGGGCTGATAACCCCACTTTCACGAAGGTAGGTAGAGGCAAATGGTATTATAGACTGTGAGATAGGGGCTGTTTAGTGGAGTCATTTTTTTTTGTCTGGCATTTTGAGGGCTGAATGTGGCTACTAAGCTGATGAGAATATGGGTGATTTTAATGCCTGCCTCCCGTTCGAAAATTTGCAGAAGAAAAAAATTGATTTACATGAGGAATTTTTTTTTAATGATCTCAAATTTTTTGGCTTCTAAATGAAAGATTGACATTGATAAATAATTCACCTATAAAAAATACCAGATGCTTTTCAATAGCTGAAAAAGTGGGGATGAGTGTCAACTTCCAAGAGAAAAGAAAAGAACCTTCCGCGTTAACTTTTTGTCTGGTAATTGAGAGAATCGAAGGTTTTGTTGTAAAAATATCGCTGAAAAATCGCCAGACGGTAATCCCAGTTCGAAGTCGAGTTTTCCGGCGAAACATTCTGTGGACATTTCGAACAGGTGGCAGCCATTAAAACCACCTATATTCTCATCAGTTAACTAGCCACATTCATCCCTCAAAATGCCAGGCAAAAAAAAATGACTCAACTAAACAGGCTCTATCTCAGGGTCTATTAGTATCCGAAAAGAAAGCTCAAGCAGGTCGACATAAGGATATGAACTATGCTTGTCACGTCAAAATTAAGTCGAGAATTTCCAGTAGTGCATGAAAAATTTCCCTTAGGAAATATTTTATGCACGTGTTATATTTTGATAGGAAATTTCCCGAGTTTGAAGTTTATTTATTATACGTTGTTTCGAATATTTTAATTATGGCGATGTGTTCTGTGATGATGATTATTGATCTTTCCCATTTAAATTGCGTTTGTCAAAAAATATACACTTTGACAGATTTCTGACATCAATGCGTTTTAAATGGAAAAGCTGGAGTGCGTTCAAAGACGTCAATGCTAATGCCAAAACCTACTTTTCCCCTTCTACCGGCAATGCCAAATCTGGTGTGAATTTGCTGGAACGACAAATACCGTTTCTCAATTGGCGATCCAAACCAGGTGACATTCAAGATGGCGTGGCGTCCACACATGGACGAAAACACACAAAAAAATATCTAGTTTCTGCCCAACTCAATAGTTTACGTACCTACAAATATTTTTGAATAATCAAAATCAAAGCTGCAAGCAAAACTCGAAGCAAAATAATTGAAATATGCATGAAAACACATATTCAAAACTAACTTGCTGGCCGCCACGCCATATTGAATTTGGTCTCATCCAATCAAAATTCGTATAACCATTTCTAGACTCAGTCAAAAGCACCTCCAAAAGTTACTTTACCGCGGCCGATTCTGAACGTGTAAAGCCAACCGTTTTTACCACGCTGGAGCCGAACTTGAACGCAATATGCCAATTTTGGCTTGGCTTCAGCCGTTTTTGAACGCAGCCCTGGGTTGCGTTCAAGGACGGCAACGCTAATGCCAAAACCTACTTTTCCCCCTCCACCTGTAATGCCGAACCACGTAGGTTGGAGCCGAAATCGAACGCAAAATGCCAATTTTGGCTTGGCTGTAGCCATTCCTGAACGCAGCCCAGGTCTCACTGCCAAAAATGACAACTTAAAGGTGGGTTTCCGACGGACGCCGCGCGGCATCGTCGCATTGGAAATTGCACCCGGAAATATCCCGCTCACCAGAGATATTTCCACTTTTCAATTTTTGAAAACCACGAGGTAAATTTCCAGTTAAATATGCACAAGGGAAATTTCCAGTAGAAATATAACTAGTGCATAAAATATTTCCGGAAATTTTTGAAAATTTTGTCTGAAGCCAATTTTTTGACAAAATCATGAGTGCATAGCGCCTGAAAAAATCCCGAACCCGAAGGGTGAGGGATTTTTTCTTTGGCGCTATGCACGAATGGTTTTGTTTAAAAAAATTGACTAAAGACCAAATTTTTAAAAATTTCCCTTAGGAAATATTTTATGCACGTGTTATATTTTGATAGGAAATTTCCCGAGTTTGAAGTTTATTTATTATAAGTTGTGGCGAATATTTTAATTATGATGAAGTGTTCTGTGATGGTGATTGTTATTGATATTTCCCATTTAAATTGCGTTTGTCAAAAAATATACACTTTGTCAGATTTCTGACATCAATGCATTTTAAATGGAAAAGCTGGTCTCAATGCCAAAAATGACAACCTAAAGGTGGGTTTCCGACAGACGCCGCGCGGCATTGTCGCATTGGAAATTGCACCCGGAAATATCCCTCTCACCAGGGATATTTCCACTTGTCAATTTTTGAAAATTACGAGGTAAATTTCCAGTTAAATATGCACAAGGGAAATTTCCGCTGAAATAGGGCAGGTGCTGTGGAATCATTCCTCAGCTCTAAAAAATTATCCTGCACTTCATCAGGAACGTCGGCAACATCTAACGCGGCTTGAAATGGGTTCCTTACTACTGCAGCGCCCAGCGCCCATGCAACGCTGCGCGGCTTTTGCGGCGGAGGCCAAGGCGTGTTGCCAAATGCAGAAGAATATACCGGGTGGTCCATTTAACTTGAGATAGAGTCTATCTCGATCTCGACAACAACGCGCTTTTGAAAAAAAAATGTTCAAATAGAAGTTATGGTGTCCCAGGGAAAAGAAAATGATAGCAATGATTTTTGACTCAACTTTTATTAGAACTTTTTTTTTTCAAAAACGCGCCGTTTTCGACATATTAGACTGTTTCAGGCTAAATGGACGACCCTGTATAATAATATTGGCATTGCGACCCCTCCAAAAATCCCATGCGACCCCCTTAGGATTCGCGACCCACCGGTTGGGAACCGCTGCTATATCCGAAACGGTAAGAGCTACAAGGTCGGTTAAATTAGAAAAAAGTTGCCTTTTTTGATGCCCATTTCAGACTTGTTTACAGTGTTGCCAAATTCCTTTTAGTTTATGAAATACAGGGTTTTTTATGAAAAACGCCTAAAACTATTTAATCAATTATTTCGAAAACTATTGATATTCGAGACACAATTTAAATTTGAAAGTTTTATAATTTTTTTCGCTCTACAACATGGCATCTTTAAATTTTAAATCCGACGTTTCATCATCGAGCTACCATCATCAACTTAATTTTTTTAAATACGAACTTGGATTTTTTATATCACTTTTGGAAAGGGAATGAAAGGCGCTTCCTAAAAATGACATAAAAAATTCAAGTGCGTATTTAAAAAAATGAAGTTGATGATGGTAGCTCGATCACGAAACGTCGGAATTAAAATTTGAAGATGCCATGTTGTAGAGCCGAAAAAATTATAAGAGTTTCAAATTTAAATTGTGTCTCGAAAATCAATAGTTTT